TTAAAGGGATCTTACATCTTTCCAAATATATCCAACTTTGTAATTTTATAAGGAGTGCATGGTAAATTTTCTAGTTCCTTCATGTTTCTGGTTGTAATTAAAAGGGTATTGTATTAAATTGCATTAAAAATGGAAAATATTTCCACTTCAGCCATAAAATAGATCTATATTCAATTGTAATTACAATAAGATCTGTGAAAAAATGAATGCCTTTCTATAGCTGCTTCTTTGTATTTGGACATAGGTGTGTGAGTGTGTGCGTGTATGTGTTGAATCCTGTCTGTCTTGGTTATAAGTCAGGGATGGGAACCAATGTGTTCAGTCCAGAGAGTTTGATCTATGCCTGACTAACAAGATGATCAGCGTAGTAAAAGGCAATCCCCCAGTTGCTTGTCGTGAAAATAAAATGATTGCTTTTGGATCTTTTTGAGGAGGTGGGAAATGCTCATTCTGAATACTCAAAGAGCCTCTGGGAAATATTTAAAAGCATGATATAAAAACTCTGAGAGATATTTGTTTCTTCTGTTACCCCTGCTAATAATAAATAACCATAATAAATACTGTGCTCTCTAAGGGTCAAATGTCTTACTTTGGGGAAATATGAGGTAGAAAAATATGAACCAAAAAAAGAAACCCCATGCAAATAATATACAGGCTATGATCTCACAAAACAACACAATTTCGCACATATTTTTTTATCCCATACAACCGCCTGAACAAACAGCCAATTCCAGAGGCTGGGTTTGTGTGACCCATGAAGATAGAATGGGATTGGCCAAATTGTACATCAATGTGTCAGGTAAATACAGTCCCAGAGTTTAAGTCCTATAAGATCATCAAGGCAAAGATGCCATTCTAGCAGCTTTTTTGGCATGCCTGAATTGAACTAGCTGCAGAGAGGCAAATGATTGCATCAATAGTGTTCAAAGGCACTGTGTTTAATTGGGGACTTGTCTATTCTTATGCACAGAGTTTAGGTTTTCAAATCTACTATTTCATTTTTAGTACCACTTAAAAAGCTAGATCAAAATCAATAGTCTTATAAGAACAGATATGATGTCCTGATTTTGTTGAAATGACAACTGTAATAGCTTCCCTGACTATTTGTAAAGATGGAGTTGTAGTGGCACAGAAGTTAGGCCAAAACTTCTTTGGTCACTGGGAACCATAATAAATACTGTGTCAGGTGTACATTTGAATCCCTAATGCATAGAATAAAAAGTTAAAGAACACAATTCATTTATAGATCTGGGGTGAAAAAAACCTGGATGACCACTAGATGGCAGCAAAGAATTAGCATTTTGTATATCTCTTCACTGCCCATTAGTGACTTTCCAAATGTTTATAACCTTATTAGAAACACCTTTTCCTAAGTTTATAAATCACATTCCTTATAAATGTATTATAGTATATACTATTTTTAGTGAGCTAAATTTCCTGATATATTTGTTTCATTCCTCCCCCCCCTCGGGACACTAATAAAGATGTAGAGCAGGGGTCCTCAAACTTCTTAAACAGGGGGTCAATTCATGGTCCCTCAGACTGTTGGGGGCCAGACTGGGTGGGTGGGCATGGCTAGGTGGTCATGTGACTGGGGGGGCATAGCCAATTTAGCAGTCCATTAAACAATACACACAAATTAAACTTTAATTTGTTTTGCTCCTGGGGGTGTTTTGTTTGCTTTTATTTGCATGTTGCTCTTTTGGCTGATTCTTTTTACTAGATTGTTTTTAAGTTGTTTAGGAGTCTAGTGGTCCATTTCAGAAAACTCAGTTTTGCAGCAATTCTTCTCAGCCCCAAGGAGCTTACAATCAACAAGACTCTCCCTCCCCCTCTCTCTCTTGTCTCTCTCTTTCCCTCCCTCTCTCTCTATCTCCTTTCCACTATTTGAGCCCCTCTGGAGAAATTAAGATTTCGAGTACAACTAAAGTTGAAGAGCAAATGGGGGTGGAGAAAAGAGAAACCAGGACATGGAATGCTTGATGGGTACAGAGATGAGACTGGCTCCTGGGGCATCTTCTGCAGGATCCTCTTCAATCCTGGCAGTGATACCTTGCTGAATTCCATTCCTTTCCATTCCCATTCCCATTGCGTTCTCTCCTATTCCCATTCCATTCCATTTGCATCATAGTATTCTCAATCCACTTTTGGAATCTTGCTTGCCACCCCAGAGCTTCCTCCATATGTGCTTAATGCACGCAACAAGCTCTGGTAGGGGCTGCACATGTCTGGTAGGCAGGATGCCTCTCCAGGGGTAGAGATGGTCTCTTCAGGGGCAGGCAGCCTTGCCAGCTGCTACCCTAGAACTACCGAGTGCCGAGCGGGAGAATGGGCAGCCAAGCAGTGGTGGGGGTCTCCGAAGCCCCCAATACCTCTCTCCTGGCCAAAAATGGGCCCATTTTTGACTTCTCGGGGCCTCCGCGCATCCGGTTTTTTACTTTATTTATTTATTTATTTATTTATTTATTTATTTATTTATTTATTTATTTATTTATTTATTTATTTATTTATTTATTTGATTTGCCAATTGTTTACAAGATAATAAGTATAAGTGTATACATATTTATGAATACATGAAATGGGTACATATAAGAAAAATAAAAGAATAAGAGAAACAATAGGACAGGGACGGTAGGCACGTTGGTGCGCTTATGCACGCCCCCTACAGACCTCTTAGGAAAGGGGTGAGGTCAATAGTAGACAGTCTAAGGTTAAAGTTTTTGGGGTTTGGGGAAGAAACTACAGAGTCGGGTAGAGTATTCCAGACATTGACCACTCTATTGCTGAAGTCGTATTTCCTGCAATCAAGTTTGGTGCGGTTTACTTTGAGTTTGTATCTATTGTGTGCTCTTGTGTTGTTATGGTTGAAGCTGAAATATTCACTGACAGGTGAATACTTTCCCAGCCTCAGATGCCTTCTACTGGCCAAAAATGGGTCAGTTTCCCTCTACCTCCAGTACCTCTCTGCCAGCCAAAAACGGACCCATTTTTGGCCTGCTGGGACCTCTGCACGTCCCATTTTTTGCCTTACTAGCCTCCAGAAGCATTTTACCAGCCAAAAATCAACTGTTGGTGGGGTGTGCGGAGATCCTGGGAGGCCAAAAACAGGCCCATTTTTGCCCAGCAGAGTGCTTTTGGGGACCAGGAAGGCCAAAAATGGGATGTGCGGAGGAGGCCCAGGAGGTGAAAAATCAACCTATTTTTGGCCTCCTGGGCCTCCGCACATCCCATTTTTGGCTTTCCTGGTCTCCAGAAGCATTCTACTGGCCAGAAATGGGCCCGTTTTTGGCCTCCTAGGGTCATCCCATTTTTGGCCTTCCTGGCCCCCAAAAGCACTCTGCCAGGCAAAAATGGGGTCGCTTTTGGCCTCCCCTGTCTCCAGTAGCTCTCTGCCTTACCTTCCAGTTCCAGCTCGCAAAGGTAAGTCCTGCACTCAGCCGAAGGGTGGGAGCCAGTGGGTGGCAAGGTTATATGGATGGGGCAGCCTTGTGGTCACGCATGGGCTGGATTAATGGCTTCGGCAGGCTGTATCCATAGTTTGAGAACTCCTGGTGTAGAGGGAGGAAGGGCTGTATATTTTAGGGATGCCTGTTCCCCATATATTATGATACATATATTTGCATCAGAGGTGGTATTCAGCAGGTTCTGACCAGTTCTGGAGAACCAGTAGTGGAAATTTTGAGTAGTTTGGAGAACTGGCAAATACCACTTCTGACTGGCCCCACCCCCATCTATTCTCTGTCTCCCAAGTCCCAGCTGATCTGCTGAGTCCTTTTGTTGCACTGCACAGGAGAATGGAGCTGGAAAGCAGGTTAGTGGGGTGGGGAGGGAATGGGGATTTTGCCATGCCCAATAAGCCATGTCCACTAAGCCACGTCCACCAAGCCACGCCACGCCCACCAAGCCACAACCACAGAACCGGCAGAAAAAAAATTAATCCCATCACTGATTTGCATATCAATTTGCATAAACATACATGTACTTGCCTACAAATACCTATTTAGGTGACCCCTAGATGAAGGTCAGACCACCCCGTGTTTGAGGCACAGCCAGATTGCTAAATAAACTAGTGCATTAAATTCCAAAGCTAAAATGATCATTGTCGGAATAAAAGTCTAATTTTGCTCATATTTTTACCTTTTCCTCAAGGGAAATTCCTTTCTTTTTCTTTTATGGAATTGGATGGTGTTTAAAAATATGCAAATGCAAAAGAATGCCTTCAAGACCTGAATCCCACTTCTGATCACCCCAGGTTCCTGGTTGGAATAGTGCTTCCAAATGTATGCAGTTCTATTTTTCCCCCATAAAGCTTAACGGAAGCTCTTACAAACTGAGCCAGCTCTTCCCCGTATGCAGCCAATGAAGAGATGTCTCCAAGGTTTGGGGATTCTTCAGAATCAAGAAGTTAACGTAACCTCTTCCTTTCTGCAGGGCAAGTTGTGGTAATAAGAGCAGCAGCACGCTGGCCCCCTACTCCCAAACTGAAGGATGGCTGGAGCAATGAGGTTCTCTAGTGGGCATGGCTCTAGTTGGGATAGGAGACCACCAGCCCTAGTAAAGGTCTCATCCATATACTTCATTTGCCTAGAATCCCCCAAATTTGGGGGGGCATACTAAATAGCAACCAAGCGCATATTTACAATTAGTGTAATTGTTACGTAACTTTCCCCTCTGGTGAAATTTAGCCCTTTCATATCTCCAAATAGACATCTAGCTGGTCACTTGCAGTGAAGGGTTGCTCTGTTTTGATTTTCCCCTTATTAAAGGGAATTAAGGAAGCCAAAAATTAAATAGGAAAATGCAACAGAGATAGTCCTTCTTCATTGTTTCTATATCCTGTCCTTTCTTGCATATTGGCTTTGAGAACTTTCACTGCTGCTGCTACTATTTCACCTTTTGCTTCTTGTCTCTCCCCCTCTGTGTCGCCCCCTCCCCCCCACCTTCCCCTCTATTCCTCTGCTTTCCCCCCCCAACCTTCCCATGGACTTTTCCTCTCCTAGGTGCGGGCCAGTGCCATTGCACAGGATGCTGATCAAAACTACGACTATGCTAGCAACAGTGTTATCCTACACCTGGATGCTGGGGACGAAGTTTTCATTAAGCTTGATGGAGGCAAAGCCCACGGAGGCAACAACAACAAATACAGTACCTTTTCAGGTTTCATAATCTACTCAGACTGAGGTTGGAAAGAAGCCTACTGACTCCCAGCCCCCTGGATTTCTCCATGTGGCAAATTTGGCTGCTGAATCTATTAATACTAATGTCTTTGCATACAGCCAGTCTCCCTCCATGGGTTATATGAAAGCAGAGTTGGGTCACTTTGTTTTTTCCTCTAGCGTGTATGGGATGGACGACTGATGATTCAGTCACCATCCCCATTTATTTTACCTTCCATTGTATCATGAATCACTAAGCCTTTCAAGCAGTGTTAATATGGAGGATGAAGAGAAAGAGAGCCAAGGAGCCAGGGTGAGATTTGAGATGTAGTCTGGAGAATTGATCATCCCATTGCCCTTAAAAGCATTTTCATTTCCACCCTATATGACGTATCGAGACATGCTGCATGCTATTATATTGGGAGTAGATTCTATACGTAAGAGGTTAGGGAGGCTTAGTCTATTCAGTGAAGGGACTATGTGTATTGCCATCTGATCCTCCCAAGATATATTTCTATGTACCTTTTTAACCATGTCCAGGGCTTCCTTAGGGCTAAACATCTTATCTGAACTTAAAGCAACTACCATTTCTGTCTAGCATAAACCAGAATGTGAAACCAACCAGAAATGGTGATTGTTCTGAACTTGGATGAGTCACTAAATTAACCTACTCAACATAGTTAAAGAATCTTGTGGCACTGGAGTAAAATAGTAGCATACATGGTCCTGGAAACCTCTTAGGGTTCTTTAGCATATTGTGTGAATGCCCTCATCATATCGTTACTAGAAGAGGGGATTAGTGAAATTTAAAAATACTGTGCATTGTTTTGTTTTTTACCAAGTTTCAAATGCATATGAAATATTAACCTTGGATTTCTGTCCCTCCATGAGGGTAGTCCCAGGTGGTTCTGCTTGTTGTTGGTCATGTAATTATTGGTCATGTAAAACTGAGCGAGTGGAGTCATAATCTTGCTTTCCCAACCCAATCTGTGATGCTGGTGGTGAAATTATGCAAGTTTCCTAATACAAATGGAGAAGCCTGGTGAAAGTTAATCCTGCTCCACCCACCACTACCACCCAAAAAAACCCCAGATTCAATCAGATTAAGTCAATAATCCTATTAAGTATCCAGGATCTCATGCACATGCATTTCTGTATGTGTGTACATGCAGGTTTACACATACAGTATATGTGCATATTATCCAAGCAGGTCTACTATAGGAATACTATATAATTGTATTGTCCCTCTCTTCAACTTCTGAGTGTTCTTAGAATGAGGTATGATCTCAATTCTTTCTTTGTAATTTAATATTTTGACATATCTTTGTTGAGTTTTTAGAGGATGAGATGGGGAAGCTGATTTTTCTTACCAAAGGAAGAGAGAGAGAAAAAGAAAAGAAAAACTATCAGCTTAATTCAAGCTGAGCTCTTCCTTTGGAGTCTCTGTCTCTTCTTCACTGGGTTGCTTCCCAGGTGACTGTGATTTCTTTCTTTTCAGAATGGATGGGTCTAGGGAGAACAGGATGCTTCTGGGTCCTCATCAAGTCTCTGGCCATTAAGATTGGAAAGATCAGAAGAATGACACAGGGTTGTATGTGTAATTTTCAGACTCATGTCAGATATTTCTCTTTTATATATAATTTATCATGTTGGCTCTTGCTAATCTTTCTGATCACAACTTATTTCTTATTTAAAATATGAAAAAAATTGATCAACAAGGTGAAACTTATCAGACCTTTTCCCACCAATACAGCTTGTTTTTTGAGAATGGTTAGGCCTAAAGTAGTTCTACTTTTTCTCACACACGCTATAAATTCATTGTGCACAATGTATTGGCTGCACAGGATAATGATCTCTACAGAGCAGTTTGGAATCTAGCTGTTATGTAAGAAAATTTCTTGGTAATGAGATCCTGCATTGTTTACCACATGGGTAAAAGAACCTGAGCATAAAGCGTGGGCATTCAGTTTCACAGGTTTTTTTAGTTTTTCAGAGCCTAATTTTTAGAGATGTTTGGATTATAACTTCCACAGTTTTCTTATCTAACATCGGCAGAACATGGTCCAACATGGAGAAGAACAAGATGGAGACCAAACTATTTCAACTGTGCACAAACTACTTTATTCCAACATATTGTTATACATAGATTGAAAATGAAAATATGCAGATGTTGAAATATTCATAAATACATACGACATCTCCCTACACAATAATTAAACACTAACAGAAAGCCAGCAGAGTTTTCTAGTTTGAATTGTCCTCATTCACTGGAAATACTGTATACATCAAAATTCAGAAATTGTATTTCCATAAGATAATGTGTTTAACCTGAAAATCTGAAAAGCTTCACCAGGTCCAATGACAGTGTGTATAGAGAGATTACTACTGTGTGTTGGGATGTGAGACATTCTATTTCCTAAAAATCTTTATCAAATGAAGTAACACAGACAGAGCAAACTTGGAATAAAAATATTGGATTATCTAGTGTTTTTTTTTAATTCTCAATTATTGGCCCTGACAAATTTGGTAAATTAAAAAACATTTCAAGTGGGTTTTTCCCCCTCACCAATGCAGAGAAACTGAGATAAGAAAATCCTCATAGATTTTCTTCCAACCATTTTTGACCAGAAAGTCAGTCCTATTTGTCAGTATATCAATTTTTCATTCACTTTTAAGTACTTTTTATGGGTCCCTGACAATCCTTAGATCATGCCACTGCAATTGGGCAGTAAATTGAGCAACATTGAACGTATAATTTCCTGCCAGTTTTCTACTGGAAAAAAAAGAAAGAAATATGATGCATAAAGAATTGCATGGTCTTCAATCATTTAAATTGGTAATTTGAAAATGAATCCTTGCCTGTTTTCACAATATACAAAACATTTCCCCAAAATTTTAGAATGGGCCACTGTGACCCTGGGTTGCTGGAAAAAAAATGTGTGGCTTCGTCCCTGATTTTTTTAATATAAAGATCATATAATCTTAATACTTCATATTTTTAATAGTGATAAAGAAAGGGAAGTTCGTGAAAAGAATATGTGAGCCTGTTTTCCAATCCTTTCTTCTGCTATTTCTACTGACGCATAGGATCAAAACCACCCCACTGCTTTGGGGAAAAATAACACATTTTTTTCTACTTTCAAGCACTGTTTTCTTGTGATTCTTAGATTTTTCTTGTTAACATGCCTTAGAACTATTTATATCCTAAGCAGTAGCAAAAAGTGTATTTTAAATAAACCAAAACATCGCTGAGAGCCAAGATACACTTCCTGGTTTTGCTGCTGAGGTGGCAAAAAAGGGTGTTTCTTACCATCTGTTTGGCCATAAGATATGATTGATATACCTCATCAGGTTTAGTAGACCACAAATTATGCAGGTCTGCCATCTACACATCTAAGGGCAATTCCATGTTATCACTGTTTTTATTCTTCAGCCTGCTGCTCAAAGCTGTTTAAAGCCAATACTTTCCTCATCACTCATTTCTACTATTCTCACAATATTATTTGTAGAGGTTTTCAGGGGACAATTCATGCTCTTTCATTTGACCAGATGAGATGACAATTATTATCTCCTTCCATCGGTGACATCCCCCACCCCTCCTGCTCTTTAGCTGAGTTACTACCAGTCCCAGAGTAACCAAAATCCACTCCATGCAACAGAAACATAAAATAAATGATTGGTTCTCCTTCATCATGCTTTCAGTTCATGTTGCATGTGTTTGTCTTGCCATTTGGAAATAGAAATAATAATAATAATTTGCTACAGAAAGGCCTTCTGTTTGCAAAATTGGCTTTCCTCATTTCCAAACTCACCCAGGGGGCTTATATGCCTAAGCTAGAACTAGAACTCAGAATCTCCTAGTTTCTAACTAGGAGTTTCTGATGACTTAACCACTAGGCCAAATGCCGGTAAAATAATCATGGGAGAGTTAACCATAATTCAAAACAAGCCCAGTTTTGCATAGAGTTAAACTAACCCCATCCTTGTCAATGGCTGAATAAGCTCCACTATAGAATTCACTATTGTATCACAGTGTGGCAATATCAAACACCCTTTCAAAATTGTCTATAGTACCCAAGCTATACTTACCCCTATCAGTCTCTCCAATGGATAAGGGACTAGTGATATTATGAAGTCTTGTGAATACTGGCCAGGAAAAAGAGCTAATGGGGTGCCAGGTCCCTTCTGGAGAAATGGAAATGGGGACCTATATTCTTCAAATTGTATTTTTCGATTACTTGGAGCCACAATCATAATAAGGATATTTGATTTGGGTCACCAACTTAGTTGGTACATTAATTGTCTTGTGAAAAATAGGATAAATCTGTTTGATCAGTCTTTTAAAATTATTTGACTGAACTACTGACTTTTCCTTTACACAAAGGACCTGACAGAAGTCACTTGAGATATGTGTCATATAACTAACACACCATTGTCACTTACTAGTTGGCTGTCTTGTCAAATTCAACAAAATGTTTGACCTAATTATTGTTGGATCTTTCTTGATTGTTGGACTAGTGAAACCAAACAAATTACTAAATGAACACTGGCCAAATCATAAAAAATCACTAGTATAAATTCTAGGGCAATTTAATGCATGTGAGTACCAAAAATGGAAATTTATAGCATGAAAAAGACCCAAGAATAAAATATTTTCCAAATTCTATGACATAGAAATTAAATTGCATAAATTTATAAAAATTGTTTGAATTATAATTTTATAATTAATCTGATAAACCAGATTCCATGGTCTTATAGAACAATTTTTGATGATCATACAGTGTTTATATGGCAAAGCTGATCCAATCCCTTCACCCATCACAAATTTCTATATGCTGACAAGTTGGAATAACTGAATCAATTGTCCCTTGGCTATTTTCTAATATTCTGAGCCAGCTGGGAGGTTTTCAGAGAGAGGGAGAGGGAGAGTTATGATAATGGATCAGAATTGGTATCACCATGAATGGAGGGCATGCCTGCCCTTTTCTGCTTCCCCTACCATGGGAAGGTGAAAAGCAAAATGG